GCCTGAAAAACTGCACGGACAGAGCAGCCCAGCGGGCTACAGTCCAAGGGGTCACAAAGAGTCAGACACGACTAAACACATTACACGAATACGTGAAAGTAAGTGCTCAGCACTATACTTGCATGCAAAAACTTGACCTGTATTATCTTCAGCTATAATTATGTTAACATGCCATAAAATATTAAACCTAAGAAGTTTGTCCTCTCTCTAAACAACTCAATCTTAAAAAACTGCAGCATTTACTTCGCATTATTCCTTCACAGTTGTCTCTTTACAGGAACTTAATTTAGATATTGGTTTAAAATGCAGTATAAATTAAGGAAAAGCATTTTAGAATACAGAGCTGGACTGTTTTTGAAAACACCAAAGCAGCAAAACGAAATATTCAACAAAGTTCATAAACTGAAAAGAACTTTGAGAAACTACTCAGTCGTCGAACTTCCTAACTCACAGGTAAGTTACCCTAAGTTAATTTCTGTAGAGCCATACGGAATCCTTCCTAACAAAACCTCTTCTATAGGCCTGCAAACTTTTATTAATTATAACCGAACAGTCTGACTACTCATCAACTTTTTGGAGAGGGCGGTAAAAACCAACCAACCAACCAACCAAGGGTCCGTCCTCTCCTTCCCTAACCTGGCTCCCAAGAAATCAAACTCTACAGTCACACTCTCCAGGACCACAACAATCACAGAAACCGCATCTTTTCTGGGCTAACGCAGTGCCTCAGTTTCCAAAGCGCTCTTCACAATATCAAGGAGAAGAATATTAAAATATCCAGAATTGGGAGCATCTATTACATTCCTATCCTAAAAACTATGCTCAAATGATTGGTCCCACAGTCGAATCACTGCTGCACAAAACTGCATGATTCCTTATTCAGGGTATACGCGGTATGTGCTATACGCGGTACAGCACAATCATGAACCCTGGTAAGCAGGTCCGCAAAACCTCAAGTTCTCTGGCCGACACGCTTAGGGGAAGGCTTCGCAGAAAGCGGCTGGGCTGGGGGCGGACCATGCTACCCCCAAAACATCAGCGTAAACAGGCGTTTAAAGCGCAGCACCCGCAACGGCCGCCCAGAAGCTTCCGCGAAGGGAAGGAGCCGCCTCACCCCGCGCGGCAGAAGGAGGCGGGCCCAAGGCAGCCCATGCGTCGCGGCCCCTCCCCGCGGCTGGTCCGGCCCCCGGGGAAGCCCCCTTCGCCCCACCCCAGGCCAGGGCCCGCCCCCAGCTTCCCCGGCCTCCTTCCTGTGGGAAGTGCGGCTCCTTTCGCGTCCCCCACCCTCTGGGCTCTGCCTGGCAGGCGCTCCGCCGCCGGGCACAGGTTAGGCTAGATCGGTGAGCGGAGTCCGGGGGGAGGCTGCGGGGAACCTCACACTCGCGGATGCACAGACGGGCCTGCCTCCGCCTGCGGGCCTTGCCTGGGACCGAGCCGCCAGCCCGCCCGCCCTCTCGCCGCGGGCGAGGTCGTACCTCGCCACCAATACGTCTTGGACAAGTCGTGCCAGGTCTGATGCTGGGTGTGGTGAGTGCCGCCCGGGCCCAGGTGCGCAGCCTCGATGAGCCCGCGGCGCCGCTCGGGCTGCAGCACCACCTCCAGCTCGGCGAACGTCTTGCGATGCCGTTGCCGCCGCTGGTAGTACAAGGTCCCGTCCCGCACCACGTAGCACGCGGCCGCCTTGCGGATTTTACGCTTGACATTGCCCTCGGTGCCTGGCGCGTACGGCTCGCACTCGTTCGTCAGGTAGCGCAGGATGGCCTGGTAGCTTTCTTCGCTTGACATCGCTGACGGCGGCTCCCTGAGGGTGCCTGTCAGTGGCAGGGAAGGAAGACAGCGCACTAGCTCCGGGCGGATGCAACAGCAGCGGCGGTACTATAGGAAGGACCCGTTGTGTCTGCAGTGAGTGCTCTTCGACGGCGCCCGCAGCGCAGAGGGAGAACGGACGAGTCGGTAACCAGGAGGAACTGCACTTCTCCAGCGCGCGGGATCCGCTGGCGACTGACAAAATGGCTGCTGCACCACCGGAAGTGACGCAAATCAAGGGCAGTGGGTGAGGGAGCTGAGCCCTGATTGGAGCGCAATGGCTTTCTGGCTTGATCTAGCCGACTGAGTGACGCCAGGACTGCGGGCGGACATTTTGGAAGCGGGTAGGCCCTTCCTGGGAGAGCCAAGTGGTTTTGAGCAGACATATTAAGTCCTGGCAGTTTCCGTTTTTTAATTTTCCCCTTCTTTCCCTTGCTCTGAGCACGTGTAGGAGCCGCTGGGCAGTTGTTAACCCCGGCTGATACCCCAAGGTGCAAAGGAGTCTTCTCCGTCTGCGTTTTGAGACAACCGAAAACATACAATATATTGAGGTCTATAGCCACTGAATTTAAGACCAAATAAGTTCTTTCACAATCCTGTCAAGTGTTAACAAAATTAAAATCCATCCGTGGTAGGAGTTACTGTAGTTTCTAAGCTATTGCTAGTTCCAAACTACCCGTGGATAGTCGATATTTTTCTGCAGTGATCAGCTTATGTAGTGACGATTTTATACCTATTGAGTCAATCATGTTGGCAAGGAGCGGTGAAAAGGAGCTAGCACTTGTTTTTTTTACAGCTTGGGGGAGAAAAACACCCCGTTTTACACCCAACATATACTGAATGCACCAAAGGCCACGGCGATTGGAACTGCACTTTCCAAGGTGAGGTGTAGGTCCTATGTCAGATTTTTCACTGGTAGACGGGAGCGGTCGCCCTGGTCACCTCTCCGTGGGTTGAGTCTGCCTCGCAGTTAGGAGACTCAGGCCTAAGACATTCCAAACCATCCGGGGTCTGGCACTTAGGTGCTTTACTGGAGTCTGAAAACTCCGAGCCAACCCTCTCCTGACCCTGCCTAGATCTGCAGTCGCCGAGTGAGGCGCTGAGCCCTGCGGAGGCAGGTGAGGGCCGACTGCAGGTGAAAGCAGTGGGCTCAGAAAGGGGGGTACGCTCGGTCTCCAAGGCACTTGGCCAGTGGGGACTGCAGCAATTAACCAACAGCATACTTCAGGCACTTGCATATTCTGGCTGTAACTCGGTGAGCTCCCAGTCCCTGAGGCAAAATACAACTAGCAGGCCTGGGGTTTACTTGAAAAGTGAAGCCGCTCAGTCGTGTCCGACTCTTTGTGACCCCGTGGACTGTAGGCCACCAGGCTCCTCCGTCCATGGGATTTTCCAGGCAAGAGTACTGGAGTGGGTTGCCATTTCCTTCTCCAGGGGATCTTCCTGACCCAGGGATGAAACCCAGGCCTCCCGCATTGTAGGGAGACGCTTTACCCTCTGAGCCACCAGCGACGCCCCAAAGAGCTAGTGGATTGAACCCAGGGATTCCTAAGTTCATGCAGATGACATGAACCACACTGCCAAACACAGGGTTTACTTAGGGCCACTCATTTCAGACCACATTTAGGGGAGGGAGGCATTAGAAGGTGGAGACACATCCCTCCCCAGAACGTTTGTCCAAACCCACTCTCCATGGGATGTATCTGTTTCAGTGTTTCGCTGTGAAATAGATGTCTTTTAAAACTGATGTAAATAGATTAAAATGTTAGGTAAACAATTTCTGGCCGACCAAGAAAATCTACGTTAGAAATAACCTCTCATGCCAAACACAACCAGAGATTCTCCTGTGCCTTCGAGCCAGTAGAGAAGGGTTTTAATAAAATGTTATTCATGACTGAAAGATAATCAGAATAGGGCAGTTCCATTTCCAGATATTTAAGACCAGAAAAGCAGTGCTTTAAGGGGACATTTTATTGTTTTCAAAAGAACGAACATGTAGCTCTGTATTCATGTTGAGTATTTTGATCGATCTTTCTTCTTAAAATTTCATTTTAAAAAATTACAATAGGGACTTTTTCAGGAGTCAAGTGGTTAAGACTCAGCCTTCCAATGCTGGGAGTGTGGGTACCCCTCCTAGTCAGGAAGCTAAGATCCCACATGCCACAGGGTGCAGGGGAAAAAAAAATAAAAGTTAACGATTCCTATACAGAAAATCATGTTTCTCAAGAGGATGTTATTTCTTGTTGTATCCTTGCGACTTAAGAGTGGTCGAACATTGGATGATCTAATTTTCATAGATGTGCAAGCCTCTTAACACCAATTATGATTACTATTTTTCATATAACAATTACATAATATAGTAACTTGTAACTTGATCATCAGCAGGCTACTCAAGACATTTTTGCAATTTTAAGGACAGCTTTGCCAGACTCCCAACTCAAGAACTATTTTTTCTAAGAATACTCAAGATCCTTGAGTATTGCATCCTTGGGGAATTCCATGGCAGTCCAGCAGCGAATTCACTTCTATGGGCCTGGGATTTCAATCCCTGGTTGGGAACTAAGATGCCACAAGCATCACACCACAGACCCTTCCTCCCTACAAAAGTGTAGTCTTCATGTAAGCTTATTTTCTGGAAGCGAGAGCAGATAATAAGGTGGGTTTTAAGTAGCTTTAGCTCAGCTATAAGAAAATGGTTAAAAGTTGAGACACTAGAGAACCAAATGCATCCCCAGTAATGAAATGTGTCTATCATGGAAAAGGGTAGTTTAACAAGAAAACAACCCATTAAAAATGCTTACTTTTTGCTAACAGAAGTGATAGGAAAAGAAAAAAAAAACACAATCTTTTAGTAATCAACCTGGACTACAATCTATACAACAAAATGCAGTCTAAAATCTACATAATGCAACATAATGTGTAATGTGTCTTTATAGCCTCAGGTGAGTAAGGACTGCATTTAACCATACAGATCTTATTTAGAGATAAATATTTAACATCTCTCCATGTAAGAAACTTATATTAGGAGTAGTAGGAGGCATTATTCCTGAGAAATGAACTCTTTAAAGAATACTTAGCTCTTAAATTCTTAACTGCTATTACACTGTAGGCCAAACATGCCTGCTTTAAGAGTAAAAATTCCACCACAATCTATATTATAATCAGATCTTTATTTAAAAATCCAATCTGCCAACTTAGCGTTTTCCACCAACTCGAGGAGCAGAAACCTTCACAGGCTTCACAATCTTTTGCTTAGGTGCTGCCTTTGTGGGAGCCTGTAAAAAGAGAACATGTTATGTGGCATTATTCCATGTGAGTTTGTTTTTTGTTTCAATCACTGCTCTTATGCCCATGTTGTTTGTAACCTAGATTACTTTCCTACCTAATTATTTGTGTTCCTAATATAAAGAACTCCTCTCAAAAGTTAAAATTCTACCTCTATATGAAATATAAATGAAAGCCATTGAGGTAAGATTGAAGTAACTGAGATGTGATGCAGTGTGGGATCCTCAATTATATCCTAAGAACAGAAAAAGGTCCAATGCTAATTTTCTGGTTTTGAAATTTTTATTATGGTTATCTAAATGGTTTAGCACTGATAAAAACTGAGTAAATTCCATACAATTACAGAAAATTTTTACTGAAAAATCTAGAATTATTTCAAAATAAACACTGTTTGCCTTTCTCTCGTTTCTATAGCACTTACAGACTCATTTAAGGCTCTAACATTCCTGAATCACCCAGCCAGAAGCCAATCATGGACATGATTGCATCAAAGCCTTGCTCTTCCTCTGCCACAGTTTGGGCTAGCCAACCCCCCGTTGTCCCGGCGAGAGGCCGGAAGGCGCCCGGTACTTGCCTTTGCGGCGGCCATCGCAGTCTTCTTAGACGCCTGCTTGGCCTTTTTAGCTTCCTTGGCAGCCCTGTGGGGTTAACAACAAGCCGAAAACACCTCACTCCTTAAGGGTACAGCTCGTTAGCAAAAGGCTAATGTTCAGGAATAGAAGTAACACACTCCTTCACCATCTGCAGTTACTTGTATGATAAGTCCAAAGGATTTATTAACAAATGTGATTAACCGCATCAACTTAGCATTAGAAACTGTATAGTACCTTTATAACTGCATACAGAATTTCAACAAATCATTTAGACTTACAGTATAAACTTCTGTATTATTAAACACGAACATGTACAACTGACAATCTCTATAAAGATTCAAGTATCACAACACAAAATAACATCAGATTAAGATTCTATTCTGTAAACCCATACATAATCTAAGTTCCATGTCAGTGACTGAAATGGCTCACCGTGAGATTTCTCACCTGATAGCTTGTTCTCGTTGAGCCTTCCTAACTTCAGGTTTCTGATTCCTCTTGGCCATTATATCAGCAAGAGAGGCACCAGTTATGGCCCTCTGGAATTTGACTGCACGGCGAGTTCTTTTCTTTTGAATTTCTTCCTACAGAACAGAAAAATGGCGAACATACTGAGAAACCTTGCCTCATGAATGTGGGGGAGTCATGAAATGTCAGGAGACGGCAAAGGAGCTCTCCCTTGAACTTCTGCACCAATCCCATTCATGGGGGCTCTGCCCTCATGACTTTCATCTCTCAAAGGTCCCACCTCCTAACCATCACCTTGGAGGTCAAGTTTTCAACATGTGAATTCTGGGGAGAACACAATTCAGACCACACAATATTCAACCAGTGAGTTCCCTGGTGGCCGAGTGGTTAGGACTTTGAGCTTTCACTGCCAGTGGCTCAGGTTTAATTCCTGGTTGGGAAACTGACATTCCACATGCTGCACAGCACCACCGGAAGAAAAATAAAACTCCCAAAACAATTCATGCAATTATTTGAAATGAGATATACAAATAAATTTTTAAAGCATCTATGTATAAAATACTGCAATATGCAGGTAAGTTTTCCAATTATAAATTGGTTAAGCCATCAGTTACAAATGCTGACCATTATTTACTACTTTATTTAAAAAGACAAAGTTACACTCTAAGAAAATTAACTGAATGGTACTTTAAAAGCAATTTTAGTATGATTGTTCATGATAAAGAATGTGCTTCTGGAAAAAAAATTAACCTCAAACTCTGATTTGTTTTTACTCAAAGTAATGACACTGGCAGAAATAGTCAAGTTAGAAAACTGATGAAGACAGGAAAGCCACCAAATGTTAAGGAATGTTTGAGTATCAATATAATTCAAACATTTGCTGCAGATTCTATATTAGGAATCTATAATACAGTGCTTATGAGAAGAAAGATCTTGCCTTTAAGTCCAAGGAAAAATAAAATGAACTGTTTATTAAGGCAGGGATATGCAAAATATCTTAAAATTTTTAATGGGACATATGGAGAAAAGAGGACACATTTGTGGTTAGCCAAATGCTCATTTTAAACTTTTTATCAAGATGAAATCTTACTGGATAAAATGCTAGTATTTACCTATTTATAATTTCTCAAATCCACTTAAAAACATTTTTTCTTATTGTGGTAAAATATACACATTAAATTAATCATTCTAAAGTATTTTTAAGGGTATAATTCAGTGGCATTAGGTACCTCTGCAGTGTTGTGCGATCACCATTTCTGTCTCCAGTACTTTTTCACAATACAAAACAAACTGCACCCGTTAAATAAGGGCTTCCCAGGTGGCTAGTGGAAAAGAACCCGCCTGCTAACGCAGGAAACAAGAGACACACAGGTTCAATCCCTGGGTGACAAAGTCCCCTGGAGTGGGGATCACAGAAACGCATTCCAGTATTCATGCCTGGAGAATCCCATGGACAGAGGAGCCTGGCGGGCTACTGTCCAGAGTTGCAAAGAGTCAGACGTGACTGAAGCAACAGTCACAAATGAAGCGACTTAGTACGCACACATCACATTTTATTTTCCATTCATCCACTGATGGGACATTTGATTGTTTCCATTATAATAGAGCTACAAACATCAACATACACATTTATCTATTCAAATCCCTGCCTATAACCCTCTAGAATATATACAGCCCTAGAACTGGAACTGCTGGATCATATGATGGTAATTCTCTAACTTTTTGAGAAACTGCTAAACCACGTTCCACAGTGCCTACACCATCTTCATTCAGCAATGCACAGGGTTCCAATATCTCCACACCACCACCAAATTTGTAATTCCTCCCACCAACCCTCCCCGTTTGGATAAGGGCCATCCTAATCCTAATGTCACATTCAGGGGTTTTTTAAAAATACTGTGTTAGACTTTGTTGTTGTTGACTGTCTTGTGTCTGCCTCTGCGACCCCATGGACTATAACCCGCCATCCTCCTCTATGAAATTTCCCAGCCTTTCCTCCTCCTCCACACTTTTTTCCCCACATTCACTTTTAATTTAGAATTCTCCTTTCCTCTGAATTCCCATAATAACTTTCTTGCCATGGCACTCAAACTTTTTCTCAAAAATCTCTTTCATCAACCTAAAAGACCACTCCAAAAAACACATCCAGAACTTCCCTAGTGGTAAAGTGGTTAAGAATCCACTGCCAATGCAGGGGACACAGGTTCCATTCTCGGCCCAGAAGATTCCACCTGCCTGGAGCAACTAATCCGCTGAGACACAACTACTGAGCCCATAGGACTAGAGCCTGCGTTCCCCAAGGAGAAGCCACCCCACCCCGCACCGCAACTAGAGAAAGTCACAGAGCAGCAACAAAGAGGCAGAGTGGCTATAAATTAGAAACATATCCAGTCTTAAGAACTGACTAATATGCTGCAAGACTTCACGATGTGATACCTACATTAGGAATAATTCTAAAAGCATTACAACCAATAACAAGTTTCCATAAGAACTATTTAGTTTCCACTCAAACTTCTTAAACACTTCCACAGTGCCCTATAACTCATAAAACTCCTGAGCTTTATGTAACTGACTAACTGGAAAGGGGATGCTGTCAAATTTCAACTCAATTTTTACTGTGAGCTGAAGATACAAGGAGGCAATCCTTACAATAATTCTCACTTCACTGTTTGATGCTCAACAGTTTTAGAGTATTTTCACATACTGTCTCATTTAATTAGTTTTATAAAGCAGCAGTTGACGCTCAAGAATTTAACAACTTTAGAGCAACATTAACAAAGTGCGTTTCACCTACCGACTGTCCCTTTTTGTGTTTTCTTCTGTAGAGGACAGTCCAGTTGATCTGACGAGGATTCCTCTTGGAAAGGAATGCCGACTCACATTTTGCATTAAGAAACTGGAAAACCTGTCATGACAAGTTCAAAGTAGAGGCCTGAGCTTGAAATTATTAGTAAATATTCTAGTGACATCCTCTCATTTTACAAAATTGAGACCCATGCAGACCGAAAGGCTTGTGTCACAGAACTGGCAAGAAACCGTCTCTGCGTTTGGCCCTGTCTTTTCCCCAGAGGAGACAGACCTACGTTCATACTGAGGGGTAGGGTGTCAAATTCCGGGAGGGATCCTGCCCCTCCTGAGATGGACCTGATATCCATAAAAATAGCCAGGTTCCTCGCTGGCCCACTGCTGTTACACCAGAACATTACAATTATACAAGCTCCTAACTTCCGACCTGATCTACATTTGATCAAGCTTAAGACTGACTGACTGACTTAGAGGCTTCTGACAAACATCGCACACAGGGTCCCGGTTCAAGCTTTTCAGGCACCAATAGTGACGTGGTAAAGGACCCGGCTTAGACCGAACGAGACCGGTCTTTCTTTAAAAGTACACGGTATGTTTAGCCCACGCGGCGGTTCACCTTCCCGTCGGTTCGGGCGTAGCGCCTCCCGTGTCCTGGGTAGATCTTGTACCCGCTGAAACTGCACAGCTCGACCCTGTAACGAAAAGAAAAAGCCCCTTAGCTGGGATAGCGGGTATCTTTGGCAAGGAGAGGCCATGCCTGGGATGCTGGACAGGCGCTCAGAGCGAAGATGGAAAAGGATTGGGATGCAGGGTTCCTGCTTACTTCATGGCTGCTAGCGCTGGGGAAAAGGAAAGATGGCGAAAAGAAGGAAAGGATTATGGGAAGAGGCCTTATAAGGTCGTGGGAAGGCAATCTCCTCCCACAATTCTTTTCCCTGACCCCGGCCCTCTGTGATGACGTCACGTCGCCGGGGCCACAAATCTAGACTTCCCCGGCTGCTGTCCGCTTCGCCTGGAATAATTGCGCTAGAGGCTATCGAGCCTTTGCAGGCAAAGTGGGAAGGACAGTCAAGCAGATAGGCAGGCAGGCAATTGGTTTGAGTAATTCTAAGAGCCACGTCCTACTGCAGGAAATGTGAACTACAGAGACCGAGGGTCCTTTCTCCTCTACTTCTCATAATTTAATGATGCCCAGATGAATACCCTGCAGGTAAAATCTAAAATCTCATTTTGCCAGCACCCGTGCTAAAGCATTTGCATACATCGACTTCTTCAGTTTACTAAATCTCTATTAAGTGAGCGCCAAAGTATTGCGAGCTGATGACTGCTAGGAGTGGAGGAGTTCGTTTGCTCCGCTGCCACCTATTGGGGGTGGGGAGGTGGATTGGCCGCCGGTGGTTGCTAAGAAAGCCTTGTCTGGAGAAGGCACCTCTCTGCCCAGTCCCAACAGGAGGGCCAATGCCTGGATGATTTGAACGTTTTGTGGTGCTAGATATTTCAGCATTTGATTTGTTGTTGTTCAGTCGCTCAGTGATATTCAACTTTTTACAACCCCATTGAATGCAGCTTGCTAGGCTTCCCTTCACTATCACCCAGAGCTTGCTCAAACTCATGTCCATAGAGTTGGTCGTGCCATCCAACCATCTCATCCTCGGTCGGCCCCTTCTCCTCCTGCCATCAATCTGTCCCAGCATTTTCCATTGAATCAGCTCTTTCCATCAGGTGGCCAAAGTATTGGAGCTTCAGTTCCAGCATCAGTCCTTCAGTGAATATTCTGGGCTGATTTCTGATCTCTACTTGCAGTCCAAGGGACTCTCAAGAGTCTCCCCCAGCACCACAGTTCTAAAGCATCAGTTCTTCAGTGCTCAGCCCTCATCCATACATGACTACTGGAAAAACCATAGCTTTGTCTGTACAGACCTTTGTCAGCAAAGTGATCTCTCTGCTTTTTAAAACGCTGTCTAGGTTGCTCATAGCTTTTCTTCCAAGAAGCATTTGTCTTTTAATTTCATGGTTGCAGTCACCATTTGCAGTGATTTTGGAGCCCAGTAAAAGAAAATCACTGTTTCCATTGTTTCCCCATTTATTTGCCATGAAGTAACAGGACCGGATGCCATGATCTTAGTTTTTTGAATGTTGAGTTTTAAGCCAGCTTTTTTACTCTCCTTTCACCTTCAAAAAGAGGCTGTTTAGTTCCTCTTCGCTTCCTGCCATAAGGGTGGTGTCATCTGCATATCTGAGGTTATCGGTATTTCTCCCTGAAATCTTGATTCCAGCTTGTGTTTCATCCAACCCAGTATTTTGCATGATGTACTCTGCATGTAAGTAAGTGAAATGAGTGCAGCTGTGAAATGAGTGCAATTGTGTGCTAGTTTGAACATTCTTTAGCGTTGCCTTTCTTTCGGACTGGAATGAAAACTGACCTTTTGCAGTCCTGTGTCTACTGCTAGTTTTCCAAGTTTGCTGACACATTGACTGCAGCACTGTAACAGCGTCATCTTTTAGGATTTGAAACAGTTCAGCTGGAATTCCATCACCTCCACTAGCTTTGTTCGTAGTGACGCTTCCAAAGGCCCACTTGACTTCACACTCCAAAATGTCTAACTCTATCTGAGTGATCACACTGTCATGGTTATCTGAGTCATTAAGATCTCTTTGTATAGTTCTTCTGTGTATTCTTGCCACCTCTTCTTAACATCTTCTGCTTCTGTTAGGTCCATACCATTTCTGTCCTTTATTGTGCCCATCTTTGCATGAAATGTTCTCTTGGTATTGCTGATTTTCTTGAAGAGATCTCTAGTCTTTCCCATTCTGTTGTTTTCCTCTATGTCTTTGCATTGTTTCTTAGGAAGGCTTTCTTATCTCTCCTTGCTATTCTTTGGAATCCTGCATTCACATGGGAATATCTTTCCTTTTCTCCTTTGCCTTTTGCTTCTCTTCTTTTCTCAGCTATTTGTAGGGCCTCCTCAGACAACATTTTTGCATTTCTTTTTCTTGTGAATGGTTTTGATCACTGCCTCCTGTACGATGTTATGAACCTCCATCCATAGTTCTTCAGGCACTCTGATTATCACATCTAATCCTTTGAATCTATTTGTCACTTCCACTGTATAATTTAGGTCATACTTGAATGGCCTAGTGGTTTTCCCTACTTGCTTCAATTTAAGTCTGAATTTTGCAATAAGGAGTTCGTGATCTGATCCACAGTCAGCTCCCAGTCTTGTTTTTGCTGACTCTATAGAGCTTCTCCATCTTTGGCTGCAAAGGATATAACCAATCTGATTTCATTATTGACCATCTGGTGATGTCCATGTGTAGAGCCTTCTCTTGGGTTGTTGGAAGAGGTTGCTTGGTATGACCAGTGCATTCTTTTGTCAAAACTCTGTTAGCCTTTGCCCTGCTTCGTTCTGTACTCCAAGGCTACAGTCCAGCATTTGATGGAGAGTGGCAAAAGTCAATCCATGAATTGTGCAGGAGATAATACTTGACTAGAAATCAAATACAATTATTGATTTATGCTGCTAGTTGGAGCTCAGGGCAGGTTGCTCCAAACTATGCCTCAATAACATACGGGTTAGTTTGAATTCAGGTTACTTGAAAACTGGTAGGTGCAAGAAAGTTACTTTGAGCTTCCTGTCTATCACCCTGAAAGCAGGAAATAAAACTCTCATACTTTCTTCTTGTACAGTAGCAAAGATAGGAAGACATCATTATTACCAGAGACAGCGAATTCATGACAGAGAAGTTCGTATAAGCAGACTTTTATATTTCTTTACTAATTTACTACTCAAAGCCCAAGCTTTGCTTAAATTCCTTACTAGTTTTTATTGTTCCTTTGTCTAAAAAATATAAAAGCTGTCTGCTTTGGCCACTTCTTACTTAGGACTTAACTCTATGTGAGACCTCTGTGCACATGAATTAAATTTGTTTCTTTTTCTCCTATTTATCTGTTTTGTGTTAATTTTATTATTAGTTCAGCCACAAGAAGTCAGGATGGGTAAAGTAGGAAATTTGCCTCTCCTGGACACTCTGTATAAGCAACTCACCCTAAAAAGGTGGTAGAAGAGATATGGAAAGTCCAGCAAGGTTGCTGACTAATATTAAGAAAGTGGAACATCTGTTGGAAACTTTCTCAGGAATGAATTAACAGAGATCTGAATAGAATTAAGGAGCTAAAGAAAAGAGGACTATGACAGCCTGACCAGTTCTGACAGCTGTTGAGAATACCTGGTATACTTAGACGAATTTTTATAAACAGACTGAGGGTAGAAGGATAACTTGAGTGCAGCATGTTAAAAGATGATGCTGTGAAAGGTGTTGCACTCAATATGTGAGCAAATCTGGAAAACTCAGCAGTGGTCACAGGACTGGAAAAGGTTAGTTTTCATTCCAATCCCAAAGAAAGGCAATGCCAAATAATGTTCAAACTACTGCACAATTATACTCATCTCCCATGCTAGCAAAGTAATGCTCAAACTTCTCCAAGCTGGGTTTCAACAGTACGTGAACTGTGAACTTCCAGATGTTCAAGCTTGATTTAGAAAAGGCAGAGGAACCAGAGATCAAATTGCCAACATCCTCTGGATCATCAAAAAAGAGAGTTTCAGAAAAATATCTGCTTTATTGACTATGCCAAAGCCTTTGACTGTGTGGATCACAACACACTGTGGAAAATTCTTCAAAAGATGGGAAGACCAGACCACCTGACTTGCCTCCTGAGAAATCTGTATTTCTCAGGTCAAGAAGCAACAGTTAGAACTGAACATGGAACAACAGACTGGTTCCAAATCAGGAAAGGAATAATGTCAAGACTATATATTGTCACCCTGCTTATTTAACTTATATGCAGAGTACATCATGAGAAATGTTGGGCTGGATGAAGCACAAGCAGGAATCAAGATTGCTGGGAGAAATATCAATAACCTCAGATATGCAGTTGACACCACCCTTATGGCAGAAAGTGAAGAGGAACTAAAGAGCCTCTTGATGAAAGTAAAAGAGGAGAGTGAAAAAGTTGGCTTAAAGCTCAACATTCAGAAAACTAAGATCATAGTATCCAGTCCCATCACTTCATGGCAAATAGATGGGGAAACAATGGAAACAGTGACAGAGACTTTATTTTCTTGGGCTCGAAAATCACAGCAGATGGTGATTGCAGCCATGAAATTCAAAGACGCTTGCTCCTTGGAAGAAAAGTTATGACCAACCTAGACAGCATACTAAAAAGCAGAGACATTACTTTGCCAACAAAGGTCCGTTTAATCAAAGCTATCGTTTTTCGAGTAGTCATGTATGGGTGTGAGAGTTGGACTGTAAAGAAAGCTGAACACCGAAGAATTGATGCTTTTGAACTCTGGTGTTGGAAAAAGACTCTTGAGAGTCCCTTGGACTGCAAGGAGATCCAACCAGTCCATCCTAAAGGAAATCAGTCCTGAATATTCATTGGAAGGACTGATGCTGAAGCTGAAACTTCAATACTTTGGCCACCTGATGGGAAGAACTGACTTGTTTGAAAAGACCCTGATGCTGGGAAAGATTGAAGGCAGGAGGAGAAGGGGATGGCAGAGAATGAGGTGGTTGGATGGCATCACCAACTCAGTGGACATGTGTTTGGGTGAACTCTGGGAGTTGGTGATGGACAGGGAAGGCCTCACATGCTGCAGTCCGTGGGGTCACAAAGAGTGGGACACAACTGAGCAACTTAACTGAACTGAAGTCAACAGGGAAATTTATAAAACATATTACATGAAAATACCAGCCCCAAATCCATGTACAATATATATCCATTTTTGTTAAAAAAAAATACAGAGGCAGGGAGTCCAGTGGAT